CCCACACACACATACAGACACACTAACTGCAAAGACTCCCATTTTGTGCTTCGCACATGGGAGTCAAAAATTGACCCTGCTCAAGATCGTAATGCTGATCAAAATTTAAAAATAAATAGGACGAATGTGAATTGGGACAAATGTGAAATGGAACGAATGTGAATTGGGACGAATCGACTTGTGGGACGAAAGTGTTGGGACGAATGTGAATTTGGGCGAATTGACAGTGAATCTGCCGCCGTACACGAGTAATTTTTGTCCGTAAATGCGCGGTCGCAATGTTTTATAATATTCGACTTAGTCTATAACGTTGTCAGTTTCCTGGCAGGATACTCTCGGTGGTAACAAACCGTTTGACGATATTATAAGCTGTCTGCTTTGAAACACCATTTCGATCTCCAATCTCAGCAAATGACAGTCCACGAAAATACAAATCGACAACTATTGTTCTCACTTCAACTTGTTTTTCGACTTCTTGCTTCTCAATCGTGGTGCTTAAACAACTTGAACAAACGCCGATTTGTAGACACGCAATCGACACGATGACCGACCAAAAGTGAATGAGAGACAGACGCGCCTCAAAGTCTACCGGACTTCGTAGCAAAAATAGAAAACATTATGGGCAATATCTGTCAATCATTCGTCTGATTTGCAGCCGATGTTTATATTTCTAGTTACAACTTATATAAATTTGAAAACAAAGTGTGTAACCTATTGTAGTAGTTATCAACATCTCGCACTACTTCAGCGTCAAATCAGTGTCTGGAATTGTAAAATGGCTACAACCACGGAACCAGTGACTTTGAACGTATGTAACGAAACAGGGCCCGAGCACATCGAAACGCTGATGATCATCGACCAATATCTGAACTATGCGGTTGTACTGATTGTGATGTTTGGGATGGGGGGAGCGACAGATCTTAAAGAAATCAAGAGGAGTTTCCAGAGACCATGGGGTATTTTCATTTGCTGGGCTTCGCAGTTTGTCATTATGCCGGCGGTTGCGTTTGGTGTTGCCCAAGCGGCTAACTTCCCGCCGGTTTACGCTGTCGCTCTCGTGATCCAATGCAGCGCTCCTGGTGGGAGTATGTCCAATGTAATGTCTTATTATGCTAACGGCAACATATCTTTGAGGTAAGACTACCCCGGAAATACTGTATATGGCATATGTATTTGTATTGGGTCGTATGTTTATTTTACTTTTTGTGGAGACGATTTGCTGAATGGATTCAAATCCGTGCGTTTGAACGATGGATTGGCAAACTCTTCAGGATTTCGGTTTTATGTACATTCCATTATTGTATAGCTTACATGTGTTTTGTTTCTAAGTTTATTGTGACGCGACCAAAATTGACACTGAGTCGCATCACACAAGGACGATTACCAGTCTCAATATTAAAGGGGAGTAGAGGTCTGGCTTTTGACACTCTGTACATGAAATTTGAGATCTATGAACGAATTCTGTCGATAAAAACAACTTGCATGTGCTGCGAAATGCCCTAAATATCGGGTATAAAACTGGCTTTGAAGCAGACGACAAACGTCCGCTTTGCCTGGCGTAGTTTCGCCTCTAGAGGGCCAGGTCAATGATGTCATCAGTGAACACTGATAATTGAACCCGTTCATTCTAGTACGTCAATCTCATAGAAGTGCTACTATGAAAACCCTTGTTAACTGACAATTTAAAAGTTGAAACATTGTGAGGTGTTGTGCGTATGAGTACCATATCGATTCATGTTAAGTTTCTCGAAATCCCATATAAAAAATCACGTTGTTGGTTTCGAAAAATCGGCAGAAAAACTAACCTGAAAGTGAAGACACGGACAGCGTTCTAGCTATAGTGAACAGTGAGTGGATAAACATTGTACGAGTTAAAACTGAATTAGAAATACGCTCACGTCACTTGAACTACAGTACTCATTTCGTCCAACTTCCCACTTTTCAATCGACCGCTTATCGTTTAATTTCCGACCGCACTGTATTTTCCGACCGAAAAACGACCGCATTTTTATCGTTATCGTTTCTCTCGCTGGCTCATTGAAAACACCGACCAGTCGCTCAAACACTGGTCACTGGCAAAGGAGTGGTACAGTTTGGGAATACAACGGGTATTAACTATTTTTAAATTCCGAACTACTCTTCAAATCTATACCGAAGGGGGGGGGGGGGCAAGGGTTATTTTCGTTCAACGTAATTGCAATATTTTTTTGTTCGTACAACGTAAATAAAAAAAATAAATTCCGTAATTCTGTAATCACAGGCTAAACGTACAACGTAATCAGTCAAATATTTTTTTCGTATACTGTAAAAATGTGTCATTTTTCTCGTACGTACAAAAATTCACATCCAAATAAAAAAATCGTAAAGAATAATCCAGGGAAATTACATTTTAGGAACTGTAAAACGAATAGATGACACAATTCACTACAAAATTGAATGTCACGACGTAAAAGGCCCTCTAACCGAATGAAGAGCATTACGAGGGTAATATGCGCATACGTCTCTTCACACGGCGCAGCAATGGTGGAAAATTTGAGTCGGAGAGCTCTTCGGACCATTCAATGTTCCATTTGTTAACACTGTAAACTGTAAAAACGCCTTTTTTTTCTTCGTAAATTGTGAAAAGCCCTTTTTATTTCCCGTAAAACCGTACCAGCTACCCCCCTTGCCTCCCCTCTATACCACTTTGTAACGTTCTGTGTCCAATATTAAATAACTGAGTTTGTGTAATTATTATGAAAGCGATATATTACAATGTTGAAGTTTTTAGAGCCGGTACAATATTATAAACACATTTGCGTAATTAGAAAAGCAGCGCACTAAGTAAACGATCTTAAAATATACAAGTTTGCGTACTAATTACATCACCGTCAGAACTAATAACAATTTTACAAGATTAACGCGCGAGTGGTGGAGTGGAGTGTGAACTTGAACATAAATAATGATGCTGGTTATATCTCAATTTTCAGATAAAAATGGGATAACACATAATCACTAAATTTGTGTACATGTGGGTATGCAGCAACAAACATGCACTACATTTATAGCGGTCATAGTTTCCTAGTAGTTAAACATTAAGTTAGAGTCGCACAGAAATCATTACTTAATAACCCTAAGGTGTAAATAACTTAGTATTCTAATATGAAAATACATTGCTATACTTCACATCAGTATACTACATAAACTGTGTGAAGTATAGTACTGTTCTAGTTATGAGACAATCACAATAGCGAACACAGTGATGTGCCATACGCGTTGAAATATTGAAGTATAGTCAGAGTAGAGCCAATAAGCGTGTTTATTTTACAATGTGAAATTACTTCAGACTCAGACTGTCATATCACTGTTCCAGCTTACAAAGTTCAATAGCCAGAACTCGACATGTACAGATATGAAAAAAAGGTTTTTGATTGATTAAATTACCTTTTTGTATTTTTGATCGGAATTTTGTTGATATAATGTAATGCCATATTTGATTTGTAACTTACACAGCTCATATTAATCAAAATAGTGAGCCCTGATTCAAAGAGGTTATAGAAAACATACAGACAAATAAATAAATAAATAAATAAATAAATAAATAAATAAATAAATAAATAAATAAATAAATAAAAATCTCTAAAATTATTATTATGATATGATATTTAGTGGCTAAATTCATTAGAACAACTGACAAGATGTTCATGGCTCATATATTGTAGCCATGACTACTAACTCTTGT